TAGGCGTAGACTATGCCACCCCAACGTCAATGTAGAGAGCGGTTGACGGCCGACTCTCGACTCGGAGCGAGGGCGTCCATCTCACGGTTCGGAACATGAAGATTGGGGGGTTCGGTTTATATTGTAGGAACATACGCCCGCGGCCCGTTGTCCAAGAGCGATGACGGACATTGGCGGGAATAAGAGGTGATCCTTCATGCTCCGCATCTTAGCTCATGCCCAGGGTGTCAAATGCCGCTATTGAGCGCACTGGCGAATGGCTAATGCGAAATTGCTGCTGAGGTGCGTGGGCCCGGAGCCCAACGGTGAGAAATGTCAAGTGGAAGGCGCCAAAACTTTGATTCGATTCAAAGTTGGGGTGTGGACATGGAATGTCTCCAGCCGGGAATAACCTTCGGAAACAACATTTGAAGCCTCGGGCACAACCCGCCTGGCCAGGTGGACGCGCATTGACCCCTAATCTCGACGTAGCCAGAACTTTTGAGCGCGCCGGATACCAGCCAACCCTTGACTAATATATCTTGACTCTCTATCCAAAATACTACTCTGCAACTAGCATTCCATGAAATCGTGTCCAATCGCCCAGAATCCCGGTCAACTGGTCATGTTCTCCCCACCCCGACATCTAGGCAGTCTCATATTCCCGACTATGACCGGTCAATGCACGGGTCGCGACTTGCCCGATCCTCGGATATCACTCGCGGCAAATCTTTGACCAAGTCGAAATCGCCTTGCAAATTTCATACGACGACCAGCCATCTCCCTGCTACATTGCTTGGGTCCACTGACGTCCGAATTAGAATGAACCCATTGTCCTCGACCTTGATCCCTGCTGCTTGAGCTGCCAATCACATGTCATGCCCAGTGCCGGCGATTATCAACCCCTATGAGTATGCTCCATGCTAACGAGAACCACTTGAATATGTTACGTCGGCTATTGACTCGCATCTTGTCTCCCTAGACAGGTCGGCTGGCGCCGATTCCGCGTGGCTGGGTCTACGACAACCCGGGCAAGCCTCTTCACGATTTGTAAGTCGGCAAACCCCTATGGGCTGGGTCGGAGCAAGCTCGGGGGGGGCCCGTCGCGTCGTGAGATAATTCCGCCGAAACGGAGTCAGCTTCCTGCTACTGATTCTGGCCCTGCGATGCAGCGTTCCTATGTGGTTCATCTCTGGCCGAGTTTGCTGGTTTCCTTGTGACTGGCCACTTCCCTTCTTACTCACCATGACGACGATGGCAAGCGAAACCAAAATAGCCAAACAACCCCAGTTGTGACTCCTGCCACGACCTTTCCGTTTGGGCTCCCATCTGTTGGCGATGGCCTGCGCGTTTTTGGCTCTGCAGTCTGCGTAGTGAGGACTGTAGAGCTCTCGGGGTCCCTGATTCAGACTCTGTCCCAGCAGTAATGGTACTTGAGGGCCAATTGTGAGCAGAATGAATACCTTGGTAGCCGAACAGACTCTCGTAGAGCCTTGCTTTGGTCTTTCCTTCTCCATCGAATCTCGAAAGCCGGAACCGACAGAATGCTACCACCGAACGTTGTACGAGCATATCGTTGGTCTTCCCTCGTCTCATTGCATTCGTAGCCGCTGCCCGTGACGTTGTTGTTAGCTCAACAAGAAACATGCTCCGTATCGGGAGAGGATTATCTTACAATGGAATACATCCCACGGCAGTCTCTCCCGGCTGTATCGACCACCCGCTCTGCGGTTCTGTCACTTGTGTGCACTGTGGACGGTATCCTTCGAAACACTGACCAGGGAAATAGAAACCCCCATCTCCCTACAGAGCCAACCTGCCAGGAACTCGACAATGCAAAAATTCCGATGGCAAGAGTGGCGCCGGGCGAGGAATCGCCTGTGGTCATAGGCATATATCTCATCACATTGGTTCCTCTTGAAGGCGTTTCTATACTCATGATGGAAAATGGAAGTCCTTACACTTGAGATGTCAGAAGCCGATGATTAACTTCGGCGGCGGATATGAGAGCAAACTGCCGCCAGAACTTGAGAATTGGGCCTCGCTCACTACTCCCACATGCGACAGCCGCCAGCCTCAAGCCGCGATTCGGCTTGACTCCCTATAGTCTGTCACTCCGAAATTATAGAGGAAACTCAGAGAATTACGGAACTCACAGCGCAAGACCAGTTGGGCTCCCTAGATCAAATTCGTCCAGCCTCGCCAGAAGAGAGGGACTACAGCGGGTTTTGATCGAGAGAAAAGTAAGTCCACTGCAAGAACGATAGATAAAACCCGTCTAAACTATTAAAGAAGAGAGAGTCTAAAACTACATGTACTCATTGGCTCCCAAAGATATGACATACATCCCCCCCAAAAACAAAATGTACACCGTTGTGCCCCGAAAGTCTGGAAAAAGAACCATGACCATGAGGATACCCCGCATTATAATACACGTTCTATTTGATAAAAGAAAAAGTCGTGCTCAATCGACATCATCTGGACTTGTTGTTTCGCCAACCCCGCCACCGGGCGCTGATTCCTCTTTGGCTTGCTGTAAAACCTGCGCCTCGTCATGCCCTTCGTGTCTAGATTCATTATTGCTTGCCCTTTCGGCGACTCTATCAGCGGCGCCCTCTTTAAGCGTGCCGTCCTCGTTGACGTCTTCTCGAAGATAGATTGTAAATACGACGACTAGGTATGCCTCTGCTGTTTGCTTGTTCCGCAGGACGTATCTAAGTTCGTGCGACCGCCTAGGAATTCATGTTAAACCAACACAAGATGGATAATACGGCACCAAGCAAACAAGCAAACAAGCAAACAAACAGACAGACAAACGAGTTACTAGTAACCCACGGCGTTTCACGGGTGAAAATACACAACCAAGCAGCGCATGGTGGGTGATGGGTAGTCACGTTTCTTACCTGAGACCCTGACCATCCCAGTACTTGACGATTGGCAGCTGGAAGCCAGGCAGATTTAGAGCCAAGTTGGTGAAATCGAGGTAGGGATTGAAAAAGTCTAACCCATATGATTTTCCATACTCGAAGACCCATTTGCTTTTGCTGTCATCCTTCAACGCCCACTTCATACGAGCCTTGCTGTCCACGGGCGCGCCGATGGCCTGGCGGACCTCCATTCCTTCCTCGTCGCCGCCTTCTTCGAACCACAGGCCACCCTTCTCCTCTGCATAGTCCCCAGGGCCGAGATGAATGGAATTAAAAGAGCTCAAGGCAGGGCCATACAAGTAGGGTCTATCGGCGTAGGCGTCTCCATCCAAGCCGGGGTCGATCCACCACCGAACAATTCCCATGGCGGTGTTGAAGCCGGGGGGCAACTTGTCTCGAATTGGGCGATCAAAGTCATTGCCGAACTGGAGGTCGTGGCCGTTGATGCCCTCTGGTTTCGGCCCCGAGCTGGCGTCGCTATCGTCGCTCACGACACTCTCATCACTTCCCGCGGCGGGCTTCAGAGGCTTAAATCTAAAGGAGATGCTGTACTGGTCGTTGTTCTTTGCGTGCGGCTCCGTCTCAAAGTAGGGAGATGTGGCGGGCGACCCCAAGGGCAAACCGCCATAGCCCCGAATTCTGATATTCAGCTCAACATGTGCACTGTGGCCCTGGATTCGGATTGGCTCGGGCTGATTCACCGGCACCTCAACGTGGGTGGCGGCATCGTAGCTTGGGCCTGCCGTTACACGTAGAATATATCTGTCGGCCATGGGCTGATTGCTATATGGACGAGGTTTGTTTGGGTAAGAGACGAATTTCTTGACATGAGAGGAGAATTGCCGCCTTCGGCTGAGCTGCGAATAGCTCTGGGTGGGTGCTTGAGAATTGCTGGATTGCATGACGTCGACCAACGCAGGCGGCAGAATGAAGCTTGCTTGGCTGCTATTGGACCGTTAGGCAGTAACGGAGGCTCCGGTGCTCTGGTCCTAGCTAACCAGCAGGCTACTGGCAACGGCCGTGGGGCGAATTCGTTGACCATGTAACGCAGCGCGCGGAAGGATTAATATTCAGACAGACGGCGTGGTATTGCTCAATTGCAGGACGTACAATGATATACAGGGTTGCAGTTTCTTCGTTTGTTCCTTTGCTTTTGAGGAAAAAGATTAAAAAAAGAACTGGCTACTCCAGCTGGCTCAAACTGGCGTTTTGAAAATACGCAACATGTTACGCATTGACCATATGTTGAAAGAGCGCCGCCGAAACACCGTCGGTGCTGTCAATCTGACCGGTCGCGCTCTGGCTCAACCGACTTGACACCAGATCAATTGTACATCCGTACTCTGTACATCTAAAAACCCGCTTTCCTAATATCACGACATCAGATCCATGTCGCAAGGGTCGGCCAGTCAATGCTCCCTGCTCCTCCTACCGGGCCAAGTGCGACAGTGTGTCCATTGATGCGCTGCCCAGAGAGACGTGTACATGCATATCTGGCAATGATAAATCAAAGTCTCCGCACATGCACCGCCCTCAGGGAACGCCGGCTCCTCATCAGACGTGACGCAAACACCAAAAACAGCCACCACCCAAGAAACTGGAATCTTGAGCTTTTCGTGCCTCTCTGCCGGCGCCATCGAAAGACCAAAAGAGCTAGTCGAGAAATGATCATATCAGCCTGATGATCCCCAATATCCAGCGACCATGACGGCTAGTGACCGGGGGCATCTCTCCAAACACAAATAACACTCCTATGATCTGGGGGTATTTCATCAATTCAAAGGCAACACAATATCATCCCCAATCGGATTTCCAGCGCCGGGGTTAAATATATGGTTGCAGTAAACGGACAGACCAAAGCGGATCGTTATGATTGGCACATCTTTGGGCGAGTTTCTACTTATTCGCATTTCCATACTTTTATTTCGATATCTTCCGGCTCTTTACGTCGTCATTCTACTCTACAACGTTCTAAAGAGAGATTTGCCGTGGCATAGCTTGGCCACCGTCGTCCCGGCCTTGTTACTAGTAGCAGAAACCTTGTTCTTCACCTTGATTTACACACCGCACAAGCGGAGATTGCAATGCACCGCAATGCACCCGGCTCCTTTATCGCATGCTGAACGGAGACGCTTATTCGACAAGTGCATGGCCAATACGCCTCATGTGAACGAATACTTGCGCGGGTGGTTCCTCGGTGCCGAGTTGGAAGACATTCGTCGAGACAACCTGCGCGAATTCTTCCTCTGGGCGTTTTTCGACACCCAAGTGAAAAACAACGACCCGGCATCTATTGACCAGGACATCTGGAGCGAGATCAACGACTACGTCGCGCTGACGGAAGAACGACTTGGTCACCCCCTAGGCGAGGGATGCGGGCCAGCCAAGAGTCTTCGTCTCACACTGGACGGCATCGCTACTGCGTACAGATGTCTACTATGGTATTTCATCGTGTTCCTAGTCGACCAGGCCACACACTACGTATTGGCCCGGCACGGGTTTCGTTATTACGCCAGGACATTTCGTGTTGCACGGAGGACGTTTCCCCCTCGCCCACAAGAGCTGTTTGCCAAGCATCGCTCGACAGTACCCGAGCTGAGCTACTGGTTTCTGCCGCACACCACAAACGGTGGGAACAAACGATGTATTATTTTCTGGCACGGAATCGGGATAGGACTATGGACGTACGTGTGGTTCATAATACAATTGCGTGCCTCCCGCGCTTCAAACCATGACACAGGCATCATTGTGCCAGAGATGCTTCCCATTTCCTTTCGACTCACGGACCCGCCTCCTCGAAAAGACGAACTGTTGACCATGGTGATGCGAATTCTGGACCACCACCAGGGCTGGGAGAGGTTCACGTTGGTGTCTCATTCATACGGGTCAGTTCCCACGACTCACATGCTGCGGTCACCGCAATTGAGAAGAAGAATCCAGTCCATCACCCTCATTGACCCCGTGACAATTCTTCTTCACTTGCCGAACGTCGCCTACAACTTCACACGACGGACGCCGCAGCGGGCAAACGAATGGCAGCTTTGGTACTTTGCCGGCACCGACCTGGGAGTAGCCCTCTGCCTCGGCAGGCATTTCTTCTGGAGAGAAAACATCATATGGAAGGAGGATCTAGTATCAGAGCATACCCCACAGACAAGGCGGCATGATTCCCAGGGCACTCAGAGGGTCGCGGTGTGCTTGTCCGGACGGGACTTGATTGTGAACACGGCAGAAGTTGCACGGTATTTAACGAGCAGGCCGGATATGACGGGTGTCCCAGCAGCTTCCGAGGACATTGAAGGCAGCAGAGAGTGTGCTGCCGACGACGTGCAAGTTGTCGTGTTTCCTCGCTTGGACCACGCCCAGGTGTTTGACCGGAGGCGTGAGCGCGAGAGAGTTGTCGAGCTTATTCAAAACCCGCATTGACTGACTTGTTAGTTGGGAACGGTATAGAAGACGATATGGCAACGGAGACGGGAGTAGATCAAGCATAGCCAGCCCTCGAATTTACCTACCAAAGATGATGCCAGATGCACATCGAACTACTGCCTTTATTTGCCCGGTGTGGTTTCGTCGCCTCCCCAACCGTCCAAAGTAGCACCAACTGGACGCGGCCCGCCATGTATGACGACACACACAAGATCTACATGGCTCCCGTTCACAACCTGATGCTCGGTCCAGGCGGGGATGAAAGCAAAGTCTCCAGCGCCCAAGTCATGTTTTCTCAGCTCCGACTCAAAGCCCTCATTCACTGTCAGACAACCCGTCCCCGAGACAGTGTACATGATTGCATCTGCAGGCGTGTGCATTTCATGTTAGTAATGGAAACTTGGCCTATGCCGACATGCCAGGACGGCGAGCCAACGGCGGCACAGATCTTAGCTGCAAGCCTCAAGCCCGGCAGGGAAAAAAAAGGGGGGGGGAGTGAAGTTCTGGACACAAACCTTGTTCGCTGTTGTGGTGGACTGGAGTTTCGGACTGTGGTCGAACCGTGAGGACTATGTATGTGCGAATGTTACAATGACAGGGCCAAATATAGCATCATGCTCTCGCAGGTGGGCATGAGACATGCGATGTGTCACTAACCTGTAGCAGACATTCTATCGCACTTGTCCACAATGGCAGCTCTGACAGTAACGGGACCTTCAACAGTAGGACGCTTGGGCTCCAGATCCCCAGCCCGCGTCACATGCGTGGCGGCGGGCATGATCATAGGCAAGATCTCGGAGATGAGCGGGAAAAACGAGGCCATGATTGACAACAAAATCCCCGCAAGCAAAAAACGGCAAACAGAAACACGGCGAGCCTTTTTCACCTCGTCCAACGTCAAAGTCTCTCCTCGCCTCTAGCAAGGATCTCCCTGGTTGGGCAAGAGCAAGGATATGCGCGATCTGCTAAAGGATTCCGCGTCCGCGTCTGCGTCTGTGTCTGTGTTTGTAAGCTCGAACCAGCAAAATCGGGATCCGCGCCGGCTCACGGCCTGGGAGGGTTGGAGGTTGTGGCTGACCGCGGGTACCGGGATGCAGATCCCGCGTACTTTGAAACTCTGTTTGTTAATACGGGGCCCTGTCAGTTATACATACAATGGGCGCAGCCAAGAGCCGCAGAAAGTCGACAAAGGGCCAGTTGACCCTGTCGCAGCGGCGGCGGCGCAAAAATGTACATATGAAGACGAAGAACGGGCGAGGCTAGAATAGGAAGGCCGACCGCCAACACGGAACGCCGTGGCTGGGACTGAGACGCGCTGTTACACCGATCGAAGAAGGGGGAGGGGGAAGGGCCACCACCACAATCCATCTGATAATAGTCCCGCGTAGTGGTGACGCAGTTGAAGCGTAATCAAGATGCGTACTCCGTACCAGACATTACATTCATGTACTGGCCTCTTGTAGGTACAGAAGCCAGTGGGGTTTCTGTCTCTCTTCCAAAGGCACCAAGGCACCGGAGCACCCACCGACTTGGTACTCCAAGTAGTTATTTGGTTGCTTACTTGACCGTTTGGGTCAGATGATTGTGAACTGTCCAGGAACTTTTCGACATGCACCAGTTAGCCTTGGCACTCACTATGGATTCGATAGTAACAAGCCAAATTGTACGAGTGCGGAAGGCTCGCTTTGCTGCGCGGAGCGGTGACATCACTTCATAAAACATGCGCGGTTCCCTCCCGCCATGACGAGCAGCTGGCTTGGCAAAACTAAAACTCGATACGGAGTACCATGTCCATAGTATTGCATTAGCCCGAGGCAGATTCCGCACATCTATCCAAGACCGAACAAGCTGTAGAATAGTCTTCGAGAAGCAAGGTACCCAAGTCTAAATCAGGTTGGTGACAACCGAGATGAAGCCCACCACACGTTGGGCCTGCGCGAATGCCGATGCGACCTAGCGAGTAATGGAACCACACTGTTCGGATATTGCCAGGACACGACCCCAAGCCATAAAGAACCTGCCACATGAGAGAAAAAAAAAGGACCTGCATATGTACAGACGCCGTGTCTTCAAAATCGGGGACCTGCGGATGTTCGTGTCTTCCGTCATCCGCCATGCGAAAAGCCCCAGTTCTGACCATCTTCAGGTGCTTCGGCCGAGGTTTGCCGGGCCTGCCGGCTGGTTGAGAAGGCCATGATACCGTAATTCTTGTCATTAGAGCAAGGACAGTGACATGGCCTGTTCTTTCATGCATAACCGAACAATGTGAAGAGTAAATCTAGGTTCGCGGACAGTCGAAGAAGAAGAATACTATGTATGCTCGCTGCGATAAGCCCGCTAGCGGTATGCAAGCATTTTACACATGCATATATTCTGCTCCTGTGAGCCCCGTGTCCATTAAGCATGCTGTATGAAGTTTTCACCTGTCGATGGATAGCCGCTTTCCTACGCCCCCTTTTTGAACACTCTCTGACGGGATTCGAGATTCTGAAGTCGGTGTATGCTCACTTCCGGCCGGAAGTGAGGTGAGGAGTAAGAAGTTTGCAGTGGAGCTGGACAGGTGCCAGGGGCCAGTCTGTCAAGGATGTTGGGAGCATTCGATCAATCTGCAAGAAGAGCAGCTGGCTCGGTAGATCTTCAAAAGTGATTGGTAGGGTCCCGGAGCCACCCATCCTCTCTTCAATAACTAAAAGCGGACACAGTGCAATGGCAACTATAGAGTATTTGGATGGCTGGTCATCATATTGGCCAGGCATGACAGACAAGGCCTGGCTTGAGCTTAACTGCCAAGTACCTATGTAGTAGCTGATCTGGTACCATTGGCAGCAGGACCAAGAAGTTCTGATACAACAGCGTGCTCTGTTCGTGGGTATATTGTCACTGCATGTGCTTTCCACAAATCCAGAAACGGAGTCGCTCGACGTATGCTGCCATGGGTTGGTGATGCTGGGCCTGTTGAGCAATGGGCTCGACTAGCCGAGTTTGGAGGCGTCCAGACAAACCACATAAGTGTATTTGGAATATGTACAGATATGAAAGTTGGTGAAAGCTCGTGGCAATAAAAGCCAGAAGTTGCATTGCACACGCACAGCATGTGTGTACGCAAGTAACTAGCTGGCTTGCTGAATTGGGCAGACTCCTGCAGGTGGTGGTGTACTTTGCGAATCCTCGGAAACAGCTCCGGTACCTTGTTCTGCATGTGGGACACAAAGGAGGAAGAAGCTTCAAGCGAGGGAGGGCGTGGTGTATAGATAATCGGACAGTTGCATGCACAGTCGCATTAGTGGGTGATGTTTTCCCCTTTTCCTGACAGGAGCCCCCAGGTTCTCTCTATCTGGTGCCGTTGGACTCGGAGTGGAGAGAGTCCGTCTGTACCTTGGGTGTCGTAAAGCCCGACTGCGACAAACACAGACACTGGGAGAGAATTCCTTTGCATTCAGACGAGAAGCCCACCTGCCCAGCTTGTTCTGTAAATATTTCACGCATGCCTGTTTGGACATGTGGTGATCGGACGTTTTTCCCGCCTGAAGACGCAGCATCCTGGCGCTAGCCAAGCACTGTGTTTAAGCCCGATCCCTGTGATTACCACGTCAACTCTAGCAGGTAACATTGAAGGGCATAAGAAGCGAGACAAGATGCCATGATGCTCCGTGCGCGAAGCTGGCGCCGCCTAAATTTCTTCAATTGAGGGGATTGTGGGCCATGGGAGCATTTGGTCGGCTCAGCAGAGAATGGGAAAAGCCTCAGGAGCTTTCATTTCAAAGCCACCCAAGGAGCTAGTCACTGCGCGTGGTACAAAGTGATGCTACCGAAGTATCGTCGTCGATGTAAACAGCCCTCCATGTCTTTGTCACTGTGTTGCCATTTGAAAGAAGAGCTGAGAGAGGCAATGCCGAGGCGGGCAGTACGGAATATATAAGCGCGCATTTATCAGGACTTCTGAAAGTTTCCTGTGGGAAAAGCGCTTTCCATCGGGGGCTGGCATGCAGAACAGCTCTTAAATCTAACCAGAGATCATAGCTCACTTTGTAAACAAAGCTAATGGTGACCTGTAAAAGAATCGGAATGTTCCGTGACTTGACAAAGGTCCTTATTATGTCTGGTAGCATGGCTAGACAACAGCAAGCATACATACTGTGAAGTCGGGGTCTTAAACGACCTAGTAGTATTCCTGACAGGTCCACTTTAGCTAGTGGTCTCTCGGTCAAATTGACCTTGAGAAGAACATGGGCGAGGCGTTTGCCTGCAGCCTAGCCAGGCTAATAATAGTCAACGCCGGGTACGGTTAATCTTGGGGGAGATGCGTCCTGGTCTCCGCCCTAGAAGTTGCATCTCCTGGTTCTTCTATAGTGGGGGGGAAGGGTCATAAGTCTTCGAATCATTCGACGCTGCCGATGTACACACATAGTCATCGTCTTTGGTGCTTGATGTATGCATCGATATTTGTGTACTCCGTAGTCTCTCCAACTGTAGATTTGGTTCAATGCAAGGATGCGATCTTTGGTACGAACTGGCCGAGAAAATCTGGAAGACATATTAGCATTTGAAATCGAGGCATTGCTAGTCCTCCATCAGGATCTCCTAGATTAGGAGGACTCCAATGTCGTCGAAGCTAGTGTAGTGAGGTTGAGGTTTCAATGTTTTCACGAGTTCCACATAGCCGAGGAGGTCTCGAGTCGTGTAACGAGTTCTCGAACTTTGAGCCCACTTACCCACTTGGAGCGGGTATCTGGTGCCCCGAACTTTGGGAGCTCTAAGTGCCAGCTAGTGTCGTCGACCTCGGAAGCTGTGTGGTTCAGGTATAGATGCACAGTTAGCAAACGTCTAGTCTGTTGGTCTTGTTGAAGAGATATGTTGCGAGCAACTCTGGAGTAGGTAAACTACAAAGTGGCACCTACTAGGTACCTAGGTACCTACTAGGTGCGCACCGCTGCGTGACTGCTGCCTACTTAGGTGGTTAAGCCATCAATGGTGCAACCGTGTCTACTGGTTGGTCG